CTGTTGGTGGGGATGTAAATTAGAAAAACCATTATGGAAATAGTATGGAGGGTCTTCAAAAACTTAAAAACAGAAGTATCGTATGATGCTGCAATCCACCTCTTGGTTGTATATTCAAAGGAAGTGAAATAAATATGCATCATGATTCACAATAGCCAAGAAATAAAAATGACCTAAATATCTCTCATCTGATGAATAAATAAATAAAATGTGGTATACAGATATAATAGAATACTATTTGGCCATAGAAAAGAAGCCTTGTTATTTGTAAGAGTATAGATGGAATTGGAGATTGTTATGTTAAGTGGAATGATTCAGGCCTGGAAAGACAAGGACCACTTTACCTCACTAATATGGAAATGTAAAAATGTTGCTTTCATAGACATTGAGAATAGAATGGTGGGTATCATGGGCAGTGGAGAATAAGGTGAGATAAAGAGGGAAGGTTGATTAAAGGTTACTGAGTTACAGTTAGAAGCAGGAAGTTCTGGTGCCTCATTGTATAGTAGGGTCACTAGAGATAATGAGGATATCTGGACATTTCAAAAAGCTAAAAGAAAGAATTTTGAACATTTTCATTAAGTATCTGTGGAGATAAATATGGCTAATCTGATTTCAACATTACACAATATATACATAGATTGGAGCTTTACATGGTACCCATTAAATATGTATAATTATTTTAAAATAAATTTCATTTTAAAAGATGGTCACACAAAATATATCATCAATTCCTGTTTGAAATGTCAGAAAAACTAGGGATAGTAGAACATATCTCAGCATTGTAAAAGGTATATATGTTAAACTTAAGGCCAATATCATTCTAAATAGAGAAAAGTTGAAAGCATTCCCTCTAAAAACTGGAACAAGACAAGAATGCCCTCTTTCACCTCTTGTATTCAATATAGTCTTTGAAACTCTAGCTAGAGCAATTAGACAAAAGACAGAAATTAAAGGGATATGAATAGGAAAAGAAGAGCTCAAACTATCCCTATTTGCTGAAGATATGATTTTATTTTTAGAAGACTCAAAAAACTTCATCAGAAAACTTCAAGAACTCATAAACAAACTCAGCAAATTAGCAGGATATAAAATTAACACTCACAAATCAATTACATTCCTACTTACCAATAACAAATCAATTTAAAGAGAAATTAAGAAAACTATCTCATTCACAATAGCCTCAAAACAAAAATTGCCAAATCAATCTAACAAAAGGGTAAAAGGCCTCTATAATGAAAACTACAGAACACTAAAGAAAGAAGATGGAAGTTCTTCCATGTTCTTGTATAGGCAGAATTAATGTTGCCAAAGTGGCCATACTACCAAAAGTGCTTTACAATTCCTATTAAAGTTCAAATGATATCAAAGGGAAATGAAGAGAAGAGAATGGGTATGGAAATAGGCAAGACACTAGAATGAATTGGACATAATCTTTGTATTTTCATGTATGAATGCTTGACCAGTGTAACTCCACATCATGTACAACCACAAAAATGGGAAGTTATACTCCATTTATGTTTGATATGTCAAAATATATTCTACTGTCATCTATCATTAAAAAAACAAATAAAAATTAAAAATTCCAATGATGTTCTTTATATAAATAGAAAAAGTGATTATGAATTCATTTGGAAAAATAAGAGGCCCAGAATAGCCAAAGCAATCCTTAGTGAGAAAAGTCAAGCAGGAGGCATCACAACACCAGACCTTAAAATACAGAGCTGTAGTAACAAAAACAGCATGGAATTGGTACCAAAACAGACATGAAGACTAATGGAACAGAATAGAAGACACAGGTACAAACACACATAAATACAGTTAACTCATAGACAAAGGAGCCATAAACACACATGGGAGAAACGAGAACCTCTTCAACAAATGGTGCTGAGAAAACTGGAAATCCATATGTAGCAAAATGAAATTAAACCCCTATTTCACCATGAACAAAACTCAACTCAAAGTGAATCAAGGACCCAGGTATTAGATCAGAGACCATGAACCTACTAGAAGAAAAGATAGGCCCAAGTCTCCATCATGTTGGCTTTGGAACCAAGTTTATCAACAAGAATCATAGAAGGAAAATCAAGAATCAATAATTGGGATTTGTATCAAACTACAAAGCTTCTTCACAGAAAAGGAAACAATCAAGAATGTGAAGAGAGAGCCTACAGAATGGGAGAAAAGTCTTTGCTACCTGAACCTCAGATAGAGCATTAATCTCCAGATTATATAAAGGACTCAAAACACTTACCACCAAAAACCAAATAACCCAATCAATAAATGGGTAAAGGAACTGAACAGACACCTCATAGAAGAAGAAATATAAATGGTCAACAAATAAATGAAAAAAATGTTCAGCATCTCTAGCATTATAGAAATGCAAATTAAAACTACACTGAGATTCCATTTCACTCCAGTCAGAATGGCAAATATCACGAATAACAGTAACAATAAATGTGGGGAAAAGATACACTCATACTTTCCTGGTGGGACTGCAAATTGCTGCAACTTTTCTGGAAAGTAGTGTGGAGACTTCTCAGAAAACTTGGAATGGAACCACCACTTGATCCAGTTATTCCACTCCTTAGCATATACTCAAAAGGCTTAAAATCAGTACTCTACAGTGAGGTGATCACATCAATGTTCATAGCAGTTCAATTCACAACAGCTAAGCTATGGAACCAACTTAAGTGCTTTTCAATAGATGAATGGATAAAGAAAACATTGTACATATGCACAATGGAATATTACTCAGAAATAAATAAGAATAAAATTATGGAATTTGTTGGAAAACAGATGAAACTGGAGACTATTATGCTAAATGAAGTAAGCCAATCCTAAATAACCAAAGGCCAAGTGTTCTCTCTGATATGCGGATGCTAACTCACAATAAGCTGGGGCTGGAGGAGAGCAAAGAAAAAAAATTCTTTGGATGAGAAAAGGGAAAAGAAGGGAAGGGAGGGTGGATGGGAATAGGAAAGACAATAGAATGAATTGGATATAACTTTCCTATGTTCACATATGAATACATGACTGGTGGAACTCCACATCATGTACAACCACAAAAGTGGGAAATTATACTCCATGTATGTTTGACATGTCAAAATACATTTTACTGTCATGTATAACTAAAAAGAACAAATAAAAAGTATGAAAAACACTCATGGCATTCTTCCCAGAACTAGGAAAAACAGTCCTGAAATTCATCAAGAGGAAAAAAAGAACCAGGATAACCAAAACAATTCTAAGCTGAGATAACAATGTTGGAGGCATTATAATACCTGACTTGAAATGATACTACAGAACTAGAGTAACAAAAACTGCATAATACTGGCATAAAACAGACACACAGAACATAACAGAAGACAGAGAGACAAATCTGCACAAACACAGTCATCTGATCCTTTACAAAGCTGCCAAAAACATATTGGATAAAAGATAGCAATTTTAACAAATGGTCCTAGGAAAACTGGTTATCCATATGTAGAAGAATGAGACTAGATCCTTATCTGTCACCCTAGACAAAATCAACTCCAAATGGATCGAAGATCTTGAAATTAGACCAGAAACTGTGCAACTTCTACAAGAAAATGTAGAGTGAACATTCCAACACATAGGCACAGGCATTGACTTTCTCAATTTCCTACTGCTCAGGAAATAATGTCAAGGGGTCATAAATGGTGTGGCATCAAATTAAAAAACTTCTGAACAGCAATGGAAACAGTGAAGAAAGTGGAGAAAGAACATACAGAATGGGATAAAATCTGTGCATGGTACTCTTCTGAGAGAAGATTAAATCTAGACTATATAAAGAACTCAAAATAATTAACACCCAAAAAAACAAATAATAAAGTTAATAATTGGGCAGAAGAACTAAATAGACTCTTCTCACAAGAAGAAATATAATAAAACTCACTGTCTCTTTAAAAAAAGAAGAAATGCAAATGGTCAACAAATATATATATATATATATATATATATATATAT